ATTCTTCGTTACCCCAGAAACAACAAGGTTTGCTTCATTTGTCTCTGACGGCTGCTCTTTAGTGGGTAAGTACTCGTTGGTGATGCTGTTGATCCGGAACGCTCAGTCTGCTGCAGACGATAGCAGCGAATATGATCTGTGGACATAAACGATTAGTGAGCATTTTACAGTTGAACGACGGCGGCGGCGTCTTCAGTCCCAGCTTAAGTTTCGCTGTGATTGAGGCTATTCCATGTAGGATTAGGGGTCAGGAGTCAGGTTAACAGGCTCGGTTGTGAACATCTACCCGTTACAAACAGCATTTGCAAGCGAGTTTCCAGAAAATCTCAAAACATCTGCGACGATTCTCGAACGCACACAAAAAGTTTTGCAGCGCTGATGAAGGACGCTGCATGTTTTGGATATGTTCCTGCTCAGACACACCTAATTCTAACTGCTGAATCATCTCCTCAGCCTTTATCGGGTTCTGTAGCAGCTGCTAATCACTCGTTTTAATCAAATCGAGCAGGGACACATCTAAAACCGGCACTGGAAACTGTGAGGTGGTTTCTGCGAGTGGTTGACGAACAAATTGTGAATTAAATGAGAAATCCTGCAAACACATAGAGACGATGAAAACACTGAGTTTTTCTAATCAATTTATTTGCAAGTTATTATTTGACGTTTGCATATTTCCTTTTTCACCTCCCAACTACTCGCCGGCATTTGCAGCCCTGTCTTCAGATTTAATTTATGCACATTTCTGATGTCTGACTGGAACACGGTAGCAGCTAACGTACCCGAGCTAAAAGCTAAACACTGAAGCATGTCCGTTGCCCACTGGGTGCGATCTGCCAAGAGGCACAACGGCCACCACATACCAGTCCTCTAAAAGCCTGAGGTACCAGGAATGCCGCAGGAAGTGCTGTCAGATTGTCCTTCAGGGGAAAAAATGGCCCATTTTCAACACATTCCTACACATAATTCAGGGTTAGACGCTTTCATTTCTGTTTTCTAGCCTTGACAGGACAGAGTTTGTCGCCATGACTCCACATGTGCCGTCTTTCACCCCCCTGTACCACTGTGTGCTAAAAGTCTCTCCTTTTCCAGGCTTGTCTTTCCATCCCAGCTGGGTGATGGAGGGATGAATGGCTTGGGGGATGTAGATGGAGGCTGCACTCTCCCCGAGGAGCCTCTTCTGCCAGCCCTGTGCCACAGATCAACAGTCAGCCAGCCAGCCGTGCACTGACCTCATCCCTCTCCCGCTCACTCCCTCTATTTCTGTCTCCTCCTATCTCGCTCTGCCTTGCTGCCAGGGGCCGTTGCCGTCCCCGTGTCTCCTTCCTACGCCAACTGCCTGCTCGCTACCGACGGTGCGTGTCTGTCTGGCAACCTCTCTGCCTGCCTGTCTGTCTGCTGCTCTTCCTTCCTGTCTGTTATTTCTCCAGTTCCACGGTCTGCATGCATGGCTGTCTGTCTGTCCATCTGCCTGTCTCCCTGCCAGCTGCTTTTTCTGTCCAATATCCCTCCACCGGAAAGCGGCCAGGCTGTCAGCCGCTCTGCCAATCTGCCTGTCTATTTGTCATCTGTTTGCGTCTCTATTTGTTTGCCGGCACGTCTATGTGCCTGTTTACCTGTCTGCCTGTCCATCTGTTTATTAGCCTGTCTTACTGTTGTGGTGCGGTCTGAAATAGGAGGCATGAACTTGTAACCCTGTTCTCCAGTAAACAGGACGCATCCCAATATTGAAAAGATTGACTGACATGACAGGGAAACGCTGATGTTGCTGGAGCCGTAAACCCTGCACCGCGCCGCGCCGCACCGTGCCGCGCCGCACCGTGCCGCGCCGCACCGCGCCGCGCCGCACCGTGCCGCGCCGCACAGACACCCCAAACAAACATGGAGCCACATAGAAATGATGGTTGTACGGCTCTCTGGATTACTGTCGAGGTCTTGTTTTGACGTCCTATTCCAGAAGAAGAGCCGCACACACAGGGAAGTCTGAAGCTGAACTGCAGATCACACGTGCTGCATAAAATCACAGTTTCCATGTGGGTGGGTGTAATTCCAGGTGGAGGCGGATTAAAGGGCAAAAGAGTCAGAATTTCTATATTATAAAATCCCCAATTATTGTTTTAAAAAGTTGAAAACAGTTTTTAGGATGAACACACACATGATCAGGGTGTTGCCACAAAGAATGTCTTAGTTCAACAGATTTATAATAATGTGTGTTTTGGGTTTGTTTAGTGGTGGAAAGTGAAAAAATAAATAAATAAAAAGAGGCCAAAAGTCCAAACCGAGACATGAACGGTTTACTGCCGGAGCTGCAGGTCACACGATCGGTCCTGAGCATTTTAGACCACATCAAGCTTATTTATAAATGACGTTTACGCAGCGTCATGAATGGCCTCTAATTTGTGTCAAAGGTCACGTTTTCCCAGCTGGGTCAAGCTGGGTCGAGCTGGGTCAAGCTGGGTCGAGCTGGGTCGAGCTGGGTCGAGCTGGGTCGAGCTGGGTCGACGGTAACTTTAACTCACAGATTACCCGCCAGGAGCCGTGATGTCTGCTGAAACATCTTTATCTGCTGCTGATGGTGAAGGACACTTCAAGTTTCACAATAATAATTTTAAATAATAATTTTAATAAACTCTTGACTTTATTACTGTTATTACAGCCATCATAAATAATCTCTTGGTTTTCAGTATGAATGTATTTTAATTACTGAAATGACTTATTATGCTTTGGGTATAATAATAATCGTTGTTGATGATCCGTAATGTGTGTTCAGTAAACCAGAAGGTCATCTTCCACGTTAATCACCTCATGCAGAGGGTGCCCGGGGTTACGTTTAAACCATCTCACATGTCTTTACTTCATGACCAAGCTTTCTGACGCTGAGAGGGCGTGCTCGGAGGGTTTTGTTAAAACCAAAATCTCCACCAAAAAGAAGCCAGTTCTTGAACTATACTAGGAGACGAGGGACGGCCGCCCGAATCTCTACTGAGCATTCTGTCACGCCGAAAGTCTTGCTTCGAATAAACGCACCGTTTCCAGCTGACGCAAAACTCCGTCAGAGTTATTGATTTTGAGACGCAAACAGTTTCGCCAGTCGAGTGACCCACGGAGACATCTCAGGACCGATATGGTCGCACTAAGGTCCTTCTACCAACCTCGTGCCCGGAGGACATCATCTCCACCGGACATCTCGGATCCAGAAGAGGGTCTCCTGATCTGGGTGAGTTAGACACTTTTGACAGATGGCGTCTGTATGCTGTTTATCTAAGTAACACCTAACGCATCCAAAAACTCGCATTTTCATTTTCGCTTCCATTCAGTCACGGGTTTGCCTTTAAAACAAGTTTTAATATTAAAGCTGTTAAAAATGTGTCATTTCAAACTGTCATTTTTAAAGTGTTAGTAATAAATTCTTAACTTTAAAACCCGACTCTTCTCTGAAATGAAACACAGAATGGTTTATATATATATATATTTTTGGTTATTGAAAAAGCAAAGATTCCTTTAAACTTCTGATTCAATAAATAAACTTTTGCTATTAAATGTAATTATCTTGAATTAATCATTAATCTCTGGATTAAAAATAGACCAAGCTCGTTGGCATATGAACTTCTATGGAATATATAATATCCTAGATATTTATATGTGATAGAAGCGTCATTGTTAACTTGTTTGAGCTTTCATCCTGTTACACTCAGAATCTAACAAGCTGATAGCAAACCGCGTTAATTCTAGTATGTAGTTACCCACGCGACATTTAAAGCAGCACGGCAGCTGACCGAAGTGCATGAACACAATCAATACTGACAATAGATGGCAAAGCAAATAATCAGTCATCCATAAGAACGCATAATCTCAATCTCAGTGCCCGGTTCCACCACCAGGTCAGACATGTAAGCCGGTGCTGGGCCGTTCGAGGCCGCGGTAACAAACCTCACAATGTTGAACTTCACCCAGAAGCTCACGGAGACGCGCCAGCACAGGGGTGATGTGATCACGTCTACCCGGCTGCTGCGTTCGGGACCACCTGAAGCCTGATTGGTACGATTCTTTTTGTTTGGGACATGTAAGGCTGAGTTGTGAGTTCTCGTTTACCTCGACAGGTTTCAACCAAACTTCATCAGAAGAGTCACAGATGTTTGTCTTCATCAGCTGTTCTGCTGACAGATCTGCGTTGGTCACACCTGTAAATAACCCAGATTATTTGTTTATTTTGGTATTGTTTAGATACTAATATCTATGAGTAATTCATGTTTTAGGGTTCACATGACTCTTATTTTGAAGTTCAGAACGCTAACTTCCGGCGCCCAACTTGTAAGCTTTATTTGGCAGAAATACGGCACTTTTAACCTGTTAACGGAAGCAGGTTAGACAGTTGACTCATCGGTTATGTGTTTGCTGGTAACTACGCTGGTGCTCTTTTAACACGGAGATGGGAGGAATTTGTTTTGCTTACCAGAAGGAAGTTAAGAACGTTAGAGTTTTCCATCCATCTTCAATTTAGCATCTAGCTGAAAGGCGAACAGATATGTTTATGAATGGTTTCTTGTTGTTTAAATTTATAAATATATTAATTATTTGTTAACAAATTTCTGAGTGAACTAGCAGGCTAACGATAGCACATGCTATGTCTTTCGCTGGTTCATTTAGCAAAGTGGAACGTGCTCTATGGCGGGAATGTTGATTTTCTTGTTTGTTTATGTTATAATTACAGCTCTTACGATGTGACTATGGTCATTTCTGAATAAATGGGTTGGAATACCCCACCATGGTCCATCCGTTATGATCATTGAGTGCATCGTCTGAATAAAGTCCGGCTGGAACGCTACAACGGCCACCAGAAGAACAGCTGATGGACGCGTCACACAAACATCTGTGACTCTTCTGATGACGTTGGTTGAAACATGTCAAGGTAAACGAGAACTCGCAACACAACCTCACTCGTCTGAACAGAAAGAATCGTACTAGTTATTTAAGAAGAGGACACAATGAACATTGTGAAGCACCTGAAGCCCGTTAAGAGCAGAGGCTGGAACGCCAAATCCAAGCGGGAGATGATGACGGCGTGAATTACAGATTCCAGGTGCGCCGGTTTCAGGATCAGGCTGGAGCGAACCGGTCAGCGCAGCTGGAAAAAACAAGATCTGACCACTGCATTCATCTGAGAGGCCAGCGAGAGGGTGGCATGCAGGTCCACCACTAGGTTGGTCACACGCCGCTTCAGGTCGAATGGGGCCGTGAGGATTGCCTCAGACGTGATTAACCAGAGTCCATGCAGATCGTTAAACCCAGCATAACCCCCATCCTAACGAGGAGCTGACTCCGGGACAGAGCGCTACACTCAGTGCTCGAAGCATTCTAATTCATGCAGGTTGTCTCTCCCGGCCGACTGTGACTCTTCATTCATCGTCTTTCCAACCAGGACGCCCCGAGCGTTGCCATTTCCCGATGCTGAGTCATCACACCAACTCCCTGCTGATGCTCCTGCCTCACTCTCAGCCCTCCGTAGCCTCGAGAAGATGTTTGCTGAATGAAAGTATGAACTCCACAACCATCTCCATCTCTCACGCCTCCCCCCACCACCCTCACCGTGTCCTCTCCTATTCTTGTCCCAACGGGGGAGCGAGAGAACATTTGACTGGCTCCTCTCAAGCAAAGACTGCACTGCACACTGACTCGGCAGTCAAGGACGACTCTAATAGAGGCAGAACAAAAGAAGAGCGGAGTGAGAGAGGGGCACGGAGAGAGCGATGAGGAGAAAACACGCTTGCTGTGGCGCGAGGGGCCTTTGAATATTGTCAGATGATAACAGCGTGTATAATTCCCTTTTCAGCATTTCTGACATCTGAGATCCACGTTTTGTACGTATCACGTCTACCAAGCACACACACCAGAGAAAATGTCCTTTTCGTAAAGATTGCTAGAACTTCTTATTGAAGCAATCAGTCCCATTCTGTGCTTTTCCACGCTTCCTTCATGCATCATAAGTATGTTCAGCCTGTGGAGCTTCCTGGAGCTCCCCCCAGAACATTCCTCTGCATTAAATCTTAAATAGGGTGTTTTAATGCAATGCTGCAATATTGCATTCTCTCTGTAACGCGTCTCCTCTGCTGAATGCAAATTCCACGTGGCGTGCTGTCTTTAAAACAACGAGGTACGGCGTCGCTGCTTTCTTCTCCGTGACACCTCGGTGTTTGTGTTTACCATCACTCCCACAGTAAACGCAGCAGAGCTCACTGTGAGCACGCTTAAATGCTTCTGCAGCTCCGTCGCTAATCCCTGTAGTGGACTGGCCCAGTTAGTGGTTTCCAGCTTTTGGAAGGGAAAGCTGGGGATGAGTTTGGCGGGGGGGATCGGTCTATTTATAATGATAAACCCAGTCCATGTTTCTGCTGTGCTGATAGATGTTATCTGTGTCAGCCTTTGTTTCCTCCTCTTCCCTCGTGCTCTCCCCGCACCGATCCCCTCCTCCTCGTTCCGTTCTCCCTTCTCTTTCAGTCTGTTGCCCAGATGCAGAGAAGGCAGCTGTGTGGTGTTTTAAAGTGTGCCCGGTTTCAACCGTGCACTGTTGGCACGGAAAAATAACAACCAACCCCCACTATAAGCCTCTGAAATGACATGAAAGAGAGCGACTGTTGTTTTAGGAAGGAAGGGGCTAACCGGCTTCCAGCACGCTCACTAATAACCACCAATTATTAAACCGTGCAAGAAATAAAAAATAAATAAAAGATGACCCTCCCTGTGCTAGCCAAAGCTTGTTAGCCCTGAGGTAAATAGCTAGCTAGCTGGCACTAGCTCCCCAACAAGAGGATCCCAAATGAGGTCCCAACAGATTTGTAATTCCACTGTTTGCTAGACATGATATAGAAGTCTCCTGATCAAGCTAACAAGCTAAACATGCCGGGTGGCTGTCTGGCAGCCCGTCTAACCGTCAGCTGAGAGAATGACAGTACAGACCGCTAGCTGGGGATCTCATTTGAGCCGGCTAATCAGACACCAGCGAGCTTTGTGCTTAGGTGGAGCCCTCCTGAGACCAAAGCTTGGGAGACGAAGGGAGCGTCTCATCTAACTCAGCCAGGAAGATGCACCCAAACATGGGGGCTGAGGGAGAAGCAGGCAGGCTGTGGGAGCCGCGGCTGTAATTAGGTGCCCTGAGCCTGACGCCCACACACCTCCAATGAGACGCCATCCCCCTCTCCCTCTGCAAATACGCTCCTGGACGCCCACACAGCTGCACACATGTGCAGACACAAATAAATATATACTCCAACGGTGTATTTTTACAGCGTGTGTCATCAAGCAGTCAACTGGTGCAAAAAAGAAAAATCAAAGGTGTTTATCTCGTACCAGTGAAATGAAATGAAAGTAGTAAACAATGGAGGCAATCTGAAGAAGAAGGCAAAGATTCAGGACATGATCAGGCTGAATTTCACTCATCAGAGTAAGTCGGGCTATCTGACGGTTATCATCGCTCATCAAGTCTTAAACGAACACAAAGGCTGATTTAAACTCCTTCAGATAAGTGCAGACGCCTTTAAAACCACACGTTTTCCTCTAGAACTAAAGGGGATCTGCTCATGAGGACGACCGATATTAAACTGGCGTTTCTTCTAAATAAGCCCTGAATAAGCTCAACTACGTTCCACAAATCTGAGCTCACTCAGCAGCTTCTTCAGCCGAGCGTCTGTGGAAAGTTAATTAGTAGGTTTGCAGTTAAATATTTGTTCTACTTCTATTGGAAATTTTTCCAATTACACACTCTATAGTGTTTCAATGCATTTCTACTTTCCTGCTTAAAGCCTTTTGTTTCGGTTTAAGTAAAGACGTACCGAGCCGCTCCGCAGGAACACATTTTATCTGTTATTCTCACTCAGTAAATGAATCTTTTGCTCTTTCACTGGAGCACAAGTGTTTTATTGGAAGCCCTGGAACAAGGCTGGTCCAAAAGGCACAAGTTAATGATGTCATCAAGTTTCTCTTCATAATAATGAATCTTTCTTTTCTGCTCGACTCTAAATGAATCTGATTTAGCTTCATGCGGGCATCGCTTTGTCTTTCCTCCAAGTCACCAGCAGACTGAACCGTGTTTGGTTCAGAACAGTGAGATTCTCTCGCTCTGGTGACGTTCTACCAGGTTAGGTAAAACTAACCCACACACCCCCACTCCGAAGAAAACAGAAATCTTTCTTTGAGTTTAACGAATATTTTCACAAATTAGACATAATAAAAATGAGGTGAAACGTATCCACAGAGTTGGGTGAAATACTCGTAAAGCTCACTCTGGAAACCTCTCCTGGACCGAGTCAGCCGAGACCTGGCTGAGCGAGCCTGATGCAGGTGGAGCACGACTTGATTAAGACGCTGTATTCTACATGTGGAGCGTACAACGGCCAAAACATAAACGCAATTGCCAATATCCTCGTGACTGTGGACCAAACTAGAAACCAGACTTGTATTCCTGTGAGCTGAAGGCAGAGAAACGGGGTTTGCTATCTCAGCTGCAGCGCCCGTCTCCCCATCTCCCCTGGTCCATGAGAGCAGAACACACTGGAGCTGGCTTTTGACCACGGCAATTTTAATCAGTCTTTTTCACACTTCACTGGGAATTCATCGCCTCCTTCCCCCCTTCAAACATTGTTTGGGAGAGTTATCAGCAGCAGGCAGCATATCCGGTAATTATACATGCAAGGTAACGCTGGGAACTGGGCTGAATATTTCAGCCAAATGCACGAGCTGCTGAGAGCTCAGGAAGGTGCAGCTGCTTCACAACGCTGGCTGTGCAGGGCTGTGATGGAGGAAAGGTGTCAGAGTCTCATCCAGAAGAGTGGTCCGTTGGTGGGTGTGGTACGAGGTAGGCCAAAACTCTAAACCAACTTCATCAGCATCACAATGAGATGTTGCGTCGAAATGGCAAAGGTGCTGCTCGTTAATGTGAATCCATCCACCGAATTAAAGCAGATTGCTGTTACAGACACTAGTGTGCAGCAGATGGAGAGTGTGAGTGGCTTTCTGCGTATCTGAAAGTGTTGCAGAGGCGCGTCGCAAACACCGCTCGAAACTGGACGGCAAAAATTTGATGGTTCAACGTGATTGTTTACTGTGTGAGTAAGAGGCCAGCTGTTAATATGTTCAGAATACACAGCCAGGGACACACACACACACACACACACACACACACACACACACACAGAGACCACCAGTCAGACACTAGTGGGTCCTCTAGGGGAACATAGCAGCGGAGGCACAACAGTGACTCATCCAAACAGTCACGGAACACACACACACACACACACACACACACACACACACACACACACACACACACACACACACACACACACACACACACACACACACACACACACACACACACACACACACACACACACGTCCTCCGTGGCAGTCCGGCTGTCAGATAGCATCACCGCTGAGCCTATGGAGCACTGTTGACAGGTGTGGCCCACTAGTCACGCATGCACCGCACCAGCCAGCCTCCCCTCGCCCGACAGGAAGCTGCGTGTGAAAATGTTCTCCTTTCTGAGACCGAGGGAGCCCGTGTGTTTTGTTAAACTACAATCATGCATGTGGACTTATTTGGGCATGGATGTATGTGGCTCTGGTCTGACGTGGCAAGCCAAGGCCGATCCTACAGAGATACAGACGTGCAGCTTTGAACGCTGTGCAGAAAAACACAGAGACAGCTGGAGCATCGCAGGAAGATCAATAGAAGAACACAGACCTTGATTAATTCTGCCTCGAATGTGTGTGGGTTGCACAATATGAAGCAATAGAAGGTCGTTTGTGTATTTTTCTTATTGGATATGGTCCTTTAAGGTGGAGCAGAGACAATGACACAGAAATCTGTGCACATATAGACAGGCTAGCAAGGATTTAAGACTCGGAGTCTTTTTCTGGTGTGGCAGCGTGCAGCAAGGCAGCGCACAAAGCCAGGAGGCTTGTGCCGTGCATGCTCTCCGAATAAGCTCACTACCTGTATCACCATTAGAGCTCCATATGTTTAGAGTAAGGAACAATGGTGAGTAAACACACAAAGGCACTTCCAGCACGTTCAAACACACGAACAGATGGACAGAAACGCACACACACACGCACACACACACACACACACACACACACACACACACACACACACACACACACACACACACACACACACACACACACACACACACACACACACACACACACACGCGCGCGCACACACACACACACACACACACACACACAGGCATCTTAACACAAACAATAGCCATCTACACCTGTGCACAACAAACACACATCACTGGGAACACACACACACACACACACACACACACACACACACACACACACACACACACACACACACACGCACACACACACACACACACACACACACACACACACACACACACACACACAACCCACTCTCCTGCCTCTGAGCAGCTTCGTCCAGTTACTACAAAGCCCACCAGGAGCTCTTTGCAGATCAAATAATCATGCCTTCCATCTGTTTCCATTTCTCTACATTAGCACGGCGAAGGCGCCCTACAGACCACGTTAAGAAGCACCGCAGCCATCGCTGAAATAACGATTCCTCTCTCAACCCCCTACTCCTCATAATCTCCGTCCAAAGCCAGTTCAGTGACAAGGAGTAGATTCGTTCCGTCCTCATAGCGTCTCTGTGATGCCATCTCGCTGTGATATAACGTGGGGCTCTCACTGAAACGGGCTTTTAATATCACATGAACGGTTATTTTGATGCTGTTAAGAAATAAACTGAAGGCTATGGTGCCTGCTACAGCTCCTGCACGTGTCCCTGAGCTCTTTAGGGACCTCTTGGGTTTATCCTCGTCGACTCCGTAGTGAAACCAGGTATTCTTCCCCGTTTCTCCACCTGTTCTCCCAGGCCCAGGCTGCAGTGCCTGCTAATTAGACACGTTCAGTTACTTACACCGACGGAGGAGACATAATGCACAAACAGTGAGATAAAACTGAGTAAGTGAAAATGATCATTTCACCATCTTCCTCACACAGTGAGGTGGGAAGCTAAGACTCCGCCTGTGAGAGTAAGTGCCATCTCGCCACTGAGCTGAGGCAGGGAGGGGGGGTGAAATGTTTGGTCTCTGTTATGCAAGATGGAAATGAGTTTGCCACGCTCCGCTGTAGCCAAGCTATTTTGGAATGACTCACATCGGAAAACGCAGGGACGAGCAGGAGAATTAGGTCACACACACGGGGCAGGGCAGTGCCGCCTTTCTGGGGTGCAAGCGGCGGCGAGGGCTGAGACTGAGGAAGCAAAACGTGTTGCACTATTTATTCAGGGCGGATCTGAGCGTAAAGAACAGGGGGCTGGAGGTCGCAGAGAAAAAAAAGCAAAGACGCATTTTAACAGAGACCTGGCAGTGACCTGAATACGCTGCAGCAACGGAGGGGAACCGACAACTCGGCTCTCGGAGCGCTTAGCTTCAAATTCCCTCTGCGTTTCGCCGCAGATCACACAAGACTCACGACGTTTTTCCTGTATACAAAAAAGCGATGCTGACACAGAGGATTTGATTTATTATGCATGGGACTGTGGGGCACAATTGGTGAGAGAGAATGAGGAACGATGGCGTCCTCCTTGTTAACAGTAAATATGTGATCCATCCTTCTCATTAACTGCTGAACGGAGATGGAGGGAGGACAGAACTTGCATCATCTTCACTGATAAATTTAAACTAATCATCCATTAGGATGTGGAAAACTGTTGCAGGCAAAGGGGAAGGAATTAAACGGAGATGCATTGCAGCTAGAGCGAGAACGAAAGAGGGAGACAAGGAGGGGGGGGGGTGAAATCAGGCAGAGGAGCTGAGGAGGATGCATGTGAGCGTACAGTAACGGAAACAAGGCAGACAAGCTGCGATGAAGAAAATGACAACGGGAGCAGAGGACGGGCAGCGAGGGTAAAGTGTTCTTCAGGGGAGACCGTAGCTGTGTGTGTGTGTGTGCACGTGTGTGTGTGTGTGTGTGTGTGTGTGTGTGTGCGCGCGCGTGTGTGTTAGTCAGAAGACCAGGAGGTGTTTGTCAGCAGTTTCAGGGGCCCCCGCCTGCAGGGGGCAGGTGGGCTTGCCCTAGTTTGAAAGAGCGTCTGTGAACACGCACCTCTCAAGATGAGTCACGTGCACAAAGCATGTAAACAAACACGCCAGACAGGAGGTCCGTGTTTGTTCTGGAGGACGCTGCCGATGCGCCGAAGCGACTCTAAATCACACAACGATTTTTACTCCCGGCTCCAGCGTCACATTGATTTTTTTTATATTGCACCAAAATGAAAAAAAGAAGAAAAGATCATCTTTGCACGGCAATCATCAAAATTCAAACAGCATCCTCCAAATGACTAACGAAGGCCTGCAGACGCAGCTGAGTGCAAGAAAATACCTGTTGGTGGTCCTTGTGGGCCACGGTCATGCACGTTTCCCTACAAAAACACACCTGGCTTGAATCATCGGGTGATGAGCAGGCTCTGTAGGACACGAGGACGTGCTGAAGAGGTGATTCAGCTGTAGAATCAGGTGTTTGGAGCCGCTTTAACACGCAGGACGGTGGCCCTTGAGGCCCAGGATGGCACAGTTAATCAGAGTTGATTTTCTAACACATGAATGTCAGCGTCTTTGGACAAAACGTGAAGCCTACGTTAGTGACCCTTGTGACCAGTGCCTTCACAACAAATGAATAAATGTCGGTACACAACAATGCATGTCGGGCAGAGCAGGGTGCCACTGAGTCCCAGTACTGCGCACCAGTCCATACCGGTTCACTAAAGCGCTGCTTGTGACCATAAATTCACATAATTGGTGATAAAAGCACCAGTTTTACAATGAAATCCTGATGTAATCACAGTTATTTACATTCATTTTAAACCAACCTAAAAACGGTGTCACTACTTACGCGGTTTCCTTTTTTAGCCATAATAGTAATACATCTGTAGCTACGCATTAGCTGCCTAATGCTAACCCCACAGCTGGTAAATACCCCGCGAGCTCTAGCTGACGGAACAAAGATACGCACACAAGCCCTTCTCCAGTATTTCCTTGTTTCATGAAGTCATGCTGTCCAAAGACACAAACACGTAGGCGCTAGGGATGTGACTCTTAGAGCAACTCATGATCTGATTCGATTCCGATTCTTGGGGTGTCGATTCGATTCAGAATCGATTCTCGATTCTCAATTTAAATCGATTCACAATCAATATTAACAAAGAGTGTCAGCTCCAGGATGAACTACTGTGTTGTACACGTTAGTTAAAGCTATGGGACGTTTTTATTTGACTTTAAACTGGTCATGCTCCAAAAAAGCTAATTTACAAGGTAAACTAGTGATTCTAAAACTGTGAACAGAAACAATCTTTTGACCAAAAGGCAACTTTTTTTTTGCTTACCTTGTAAAATATAACAAATCTGTAGTTACCTAACAGTAGCTTTGAAAGTAATACGGTCAAATACTTTTCAAGTATGTGTAGAAACAAGTTACATGAGTAATCCTGAGTACTCTGAACCGTCTACAGGTGGTTCAGAACGCCTGTGCTCGGCTTCTGACCAAGTCCTCCAAACACACCCACATCACCCCGCTTCTCCTCCAGCTTCACTGGCTGCCAGTCAACTTCAGGGTTCATTTCAAGATCCTGGTTCTGGTCTATAGGGCCTTACATGGACAAGCACCATCTTACATTGGTGATCTTCTTAGTCCCTACACCCCCAGCAGGTCCCTGAGGTCCAGTGACCAAAGCCTACTGGTTGTGCAGCACCAGGCTAAAGGTCAAAGGTGACAGATCATCTGCTGCTGTGGCCCCCAGACTCTGGACCTCTCCCCCTGAGCCTGAGATCAGTGGACTCAGTGGTCTCCTTTAAAAAGCAGCTGAAGACTCACTTGTTCAAGCTGGCTTTTGTATGACCTTCTTCACCTCTCTCTCTTTATTCTGCTCTCCCCACCTATTCCACCTTCCTCAGGATCCACTGATTTCCCTCTTTCCTCTTCACTCTCTCTCTTTCTTAATATTTATTTTTTTATCACAATTGCCTATTTTTTGCTCATTTTAAATATATTTTAAACATTTTCTAAATGCTTTTTTAT